TTGAGTGTATACATACATACATACATACATACATACATACATACATACTTCAAACTACCAACAGTGACTAGTGTGAAGGCCCAGCTATAGACGAGTACCAGCCACTGTTATAGTACACACCAGCAGAGGACAGTTGTGTGGGTGTGGGAGAGTGAACCTAATCCCCATATTCCAATTATCTCACCAGACAAAATCCCACCGTTCAAATTATAGCCAATGAGAGGTGACCAAGCAGGATTACTATTCCCAGAAAGGAGAATTTGACCACATCATGACAAGAATTTTTATTTATTATTATTTTTTTTTCGAGTGTTGATCTTTACTGTCCTTGAGCTTGACCCTTGACATTATCCTCGTGAATACATGACACGGACGGGGTTTTATTTAAGGCATGATTACGTAATGTTTCGCTTGAAGTCTTCCATTGAATAAGATGTTCTGAATTGAGCAACTGTATATAAGCAGGACAGGCGGGCAAAAAGCGGTGAATAAAATCGTTCTTATTTTTGTATTTACTGTTGTTTTATATGACTAAGGAAGAATAACAAGAAGGAAAGCATTTATTTCACACGTAAGAAGATGCACCTGTAATCTTGAACCTGTTAGCCATACACGGTAAACTTAAACACACCCAATGGTCATGAACGACTGGTGCAAAAACTTTAATGTACTAATAACAATTCTGGTTCTGATTCTACCTGGCCAGACGAACGAAAAAAACAAAAGAATACAGGTGTTCAGTGAAGGAGACAAGGGGGGGGGGAGGGAGGAAGGGTATTTCTGGTTTCTTTTCAGGTGAGAGGTCAAACACTCCAGTTCTTTCATGTGCGCACCACCTGAAAGCCCTGGGTCGTGTGAAAGCTTCGTTGTGATTGGCTAGTTTTCCTTACATGTTGTTCCCTTAACAAAGCGTCATTGTGATTGGTCATTTTATTCTTCCATTCTATTCTGTTGAAGCTTCGTTGTGATTGGTCATTTGGGTTTTACATTCTGTCGTGATATCAATGCTCCGTCATGACTGGTCAGTTTTCCCAACACCCGTGTCCTTAACCAATCAAGAAACAGTTAATTTATTGTTACCAAAGGCATTAAGACCTGACCATGAAGTTAACATCTAGAAAAATTAGAATCGACTGAAAATTAGTCACCCTAGCTTGTTCACCTTAAGATTAACCACCCTAACTTAACTTAACCTAATCTTACCTAACCTAACCCATAAAGACATGCTAGGGCAGGGGTTCTCAACCAGGGGGGAATTTCCCCCCTCAGGTTTTCAGGGGGGGGGGGGAAACTGATACTAATATGGAAAAAATAAAGGATTTTCAGTATTATATGCATATTATTTGGAATGCACTTTTTGAGGCAGACAATCTTGGAAAGGAGGGGGGAATGACATTCTGACATATGGTGAAAGGGGTGCATGGGGCAAACAAGGTTGAGAACCACTGTGCTAGGGTGTTTAGTCATCAGGTAAAATAATCTTGGGGGGGGGTGTTCGGTGACCAGGAAATTATTAGCTAATTCTAGACACGTATAGAGAATTGGCAATGTATACATAGAATTTGACCGATTTTGTTTAGTTCATCTGGATCCTGTATTTTACGTGTTTTTTTTGTTAGTTTTTGTACAGGAGTCTCAATGAGTCTATGAACTACGATTAGAGTCAACTTTCTCTTTAGACATTAGAAGGGAAAGTAGATAAGACATAGGTTATCGAGGCCTGTGAGTTATGGTGTGTCCCATGAGAGTCGTATATAATTTAATGAGTAGAGAGAGAGAGAGGGGGGACTTTGAGGAGCTTTTGTGTGTGTGTCTGTGCGTAGAAGTTATAGTACACAACACTATACTTACGAGGGAGACTGTATAAAGTAGGTCTAGAAAGTCAAAGAGAGAAAGTGGAAGGATCTTACCTGTTACATCAAAACAAGTCTTATGCTTAAAAAAAATATTAACTGAACCTTATACAACCCCGAGAGACCGGGAGACTTTGATTAATACACTGTAGTAATATTGTATACTGAGAAATGATAGATACATTATAGTAGAGGTTGTTATGGGATAAATTACGTAAACAAATAAAAAGTGATGCTAACAGGTTAATTTAACAGTGTAATCGGTGTAGTGTGTTTTCTATTTAGCAGGGCAGTAAGTGAAGCTTGTTGTCAATTAGTAGTGATCTTGGGTGTTAGGATGTTTATTTCAGTGTTACGAACGTGTGCTAGGAACCCGGATTATTATTAACTATATGGGTGTTGTGATGGTTCGTGGATTTCGTGGATTTTTAACACTAAGAATGTTTAGAGACGGATTTGTATTAATGTTGTTGATAATATAAGAGATAAGGTGTTTACAGATGTTGATGTTAGCGGTGGTAAAAATAAGAGATAGATTGTGATAACAAATAGAGTTGGCAGTAGATAAAACCCTGTCAATAGCTGGTAATAAAAAGAGTAAAGGGGACAGAACTGAACCCTGTGGAACACCATTTTGGACGGGAAAATCGATTCAGAACCGTCAATAACAAAGACGGATTAGTCAAGCAAAAAACACGAGATTAGGTTAGATTAGGCTAGGTTGGGTTAGGTTAGATTAGGTAGAGTTAGGTTAGATTAGGCTAGGTTGGGTTAGGTTAGATTAGGTAAGGTTAGATTAGGTAGAGTTAGGTTAGATTAGACTAGGTTGGGTTAGGTTATATTAGGTTATAGAGTTGCAGAAAGGATGCCACTGGAAGGTTGTTTAGAGAGTCGAGTTTTGTTATATTCTGTCAAAGTCAACGGAAATGTCAAGGGCAAATTGTGGGGAACGAATCGGTGTCACTTAGAGGATGACCAGAAGTGAGAGAGGGAGAGAGAGAGAGAGAAGATCACCTGTCGTCCCTGCCATTGGAAAGCCAAACTAGAGATGGCTGAAGAGTTGGTGACATTCAAGATGGGAAGCAATTTTGTAGGAGATGTAAATTTGTAACCTTAGGATGTGAAAAATAGGAACTGATGATCAAATACCCTAATGGTAACCTAACCTAACCCAGTGCTAATCTAACCTAACCTAAACCCATCCTAACCTAAATCTAAACCCAACCCCACCAAGCAAGGGTTCCTAATCTTCACGAGAGGCGATAGATGACTTACGCATAATATCCCAACTAAACACTTATATCAACTTTAAACACTATCCAGAAACGCGAGTAAAGGGTGTGAATTAATTTTGAAGTGAGAGAGAATTTGTATAAACTTAAAACATTCAAAAATTATATCGAAGGAATTAAATGTAGAAACTCTAGTGATGTAAGTGGATTTTTCTCTTCCTGGGAACTGTTTGTAAACATTTCCAGGACCAAGAGGTGGACAGCATGACTCGTAGAAAAGAGATTGTGACATTTAGCTCTCTGAGCAAGATGTCGACCCCCGTGAGTACAGTGAATCAGATCATTGAGTACGATAGCTTAACCCCTTGATTATGATAGTTTGGCCTCTTGAGTACGATGGTTTGACCCCTTGAGTACGATGTCAACCTTGTGAGTGCAGTGAATCAGACCATTGAGTACGATAGCGTGACCCCTTGAGTACGATAGTTTGGCCCCTTGAGTACGAAGTCGACCTTGCGAGTACAGTGAATCAGACCATTGCGTAAGATAGCTTAATCCCTTGAGTACGATTCCAATAAAATGAGTACAGATAATTAAACCATTGAGTACGATAGTTTGGCCCCTTGAGTACGAAGTCAACTTCGTGAGTACAGTGAATCAGACCATTGAGTACGATATCTTAACCTCTTGAGTACGATGCTATACATAACTAAGGTACACGGAATGACGTACACATAACATGCACAAAGGTAAGGTATATACACGTGACTGGTACACACAATTTCGGTACACATGACTGGTACACACAACTACGGTACACATGACTTACATACAACGACGGTACACGCAACTATGGTACACGTGACTGGTACACCTAACTACGGTACACGTGACTGGTACACGTGACTAGTACACGCAACTACGGTACACGTGACTGGTACACATAACTACGGTACACATGACTGGCACACATAACTACTGTACACTAGCCAGAAGGTACTAACGAGACAGGTGTACACGCGGACTTTGTACACTGGATAGGTGTACAAACAAGACAAGGTTTCAAAACTGGAAACTTAAACACACGAATCGTTACCGAGAAAACAAGAAAACGAACCTTCGCTCGAGTCGTGCAAACATGATCTTTAGGGAGTTAAATATTGACTGGGTGCCAAACACGTTGCGGAAACAGAAACTAAGCAAAGGGATACAAAAAAAGGAGGTTTATTGTAGACGTATTTGCCGCTGGTGAGGGTTGTTGACATTTAAGGAGGCAATTGTTTGTACCGATGTAGCGGGCACCCGAAGTAAAGTCAACGATGATAAAAGATATCTAATGCCATTTAAGCGGTAACTGATACAATGGTGAGAATGGCCGCTGGGGGGTGGAGAGGGTAGAGGGAACTAGGCTGTGTTAAGCTCAGTACCGTAACATCAACTGTGTGTGTGGAGAAAGTAAGATTTACGTTGTACTGTTGTGGTAAGAACATGATACTGGATAGTGAGGATATACACGAAAGGTTATTCTAAGTCTTCATATACTTGTACAACACTAAGGTTCTCCGGTATTCAATCTGTCTTTCATCACCGCTCTTGACCAACAATGTCGTAACAACTTTAAACTCTTAACTATATAAATTATATCTTAACACCACTCTATATTAATTATCGCCTGTAACACAAAGTCCCCCTCAATTACAATTTATATCTGATTTGAGTTTATGATATTTTTTTGTTTGTTTAAAGGACCTTGAAATACCGGGTGGAGTCGGTGGTGTTGTGCGCGGCTGACTGCTGGGTAAGACTGGCGACCGTCACACCTGCAGGGCATCATAACCCTTCCTCTCTCTCACTACCGTCTAACACACACATCTCTCTCTTACCTCCACCTCACCAGCAATGTTTATTTACCTACCTTTGATTGGTCTCCAAGGATGACGTCTCGGTAACCTCTCGCACAGTTAAACTTTCGTAAACAAGCTCTCCAATCACCCGAGCTTGCCAGAGGATTTACAGCCACTTTGTTTTATCACACAACTGTTTACTGGTCCTGCGTATAGCTAGTATGATGCACTGTGAACGGTGCGAGGTGCAGGGTCTTAATGGGAGCGTGAGGGAAGGCTGGTTTTAGAAGAGGGAAGAGGTAGTGGGGTAGCCAATATGTAGACTTGAACACTGCCCGCCGCACACTAACACGCTGTCAACGCTACTGCTGACTCGCCCCGAATGCCGCTCCTCACAACCCGTCCCAGTTTTTATAAACACCCGTCCATGCACACCGGATTAACGCAATTGTCGATCTAATCTTACTCATTGTTTCTGGACAGGAAATTCTTTGAAGAGGTAATATTTCATAATGGATTCACCGTTCCGCAACACTATGACTAGGATATTTGGTGGAAGCAGCCAGGATATGTAGTGTTAGGAGCAGACTAGTGGAGCAAGCCTATCCATCCCCAGCCCACACCTCCCACCCTACACCATCACAGGTAACCAGTCAGCTTCCTCAACACAAACACACCCAATGATGCAACACTGTGGACACCTTTTTGTTGTACATGGCATGAGGGAATGGAAAAATGGGGATGGTAAGGGAGGAGGGAGACTGGCTGGCAGCGGGATGTCGTGCGTCGAGGGAACAATACAGGAAGTACTCTAATAGGACACGACACAATAGCCAGGTATATACACTGTTCACTGTTGGCATTTAACGCGAAGACTTCTCCTGATTTAATAGGGCAAGATCGACGTTATCTTATTAATTCCTGTCCAGGCAGTGAAAGAATGGGAGTTATCAGGGCACACTGCCTATTTAGCACCCCCCCCACACATCCCGCACCCTGGGTTCCTGATTTTACCCTGAAGGATTACCAGTTATTATAAATTCCTTACTTCCTAAATATTGCCTGTTTTTTTGTTTGTTTTTACTAGTTTTCGCTCTTAAAATAATAGTGAAAGTAGAGAAGAGTGAGAATTTGACATTGTTTTTTCCTCACACCAGGAAGGGTGAATAGTGAGGAGCATTGTGAGGATACTCCATAACGGGGCCCGGCGCTGAGGACTTACAAGGGAAGCTGCTATACTCTGCCTGGCTTCATTGTTTAAGAGGTTGATACCATGACTATCCCACCTACTGTAAGTTAAAAATAAGCACTTTAATGCTTGATTTCAGCCTAAACCCTATAACAACATTGGAAGCTTGCGTCAAACATTACTGTGTACTCAGATTACCTTAACTAGCTACATTTAGAACACGTTATTAATGTACAGTCGCTTACACTAATACCTGATGCAATGGCTGATGCGTTTTGTGAGATTTTTTTAATACTAATTTAGTGTTTTAGGTGAAGTTGGTGGAGTTTATTTTCAGATGAGACGAAGATCTACTTTATGGCCCTTTGAATGGACTGAATAGACTGTGTACTGGGGCCAAAAGTTATTATGGAATACTTTGAGGGGAGATAATGATGAAGGGTAAGGGATGAACTGTGACTTGATGCCTTGTGTTGGCAGTGGTTGTGTTGAGAGTGATTTATGGGGTGGTTTTGACAGTGGTGGTGTTGAGTTGGTGTGTTGGCAGTGGTTGTCTTTGGCGGTGTGTTGGCAGTGGTTGTCTTTGGCGGTGTGTTGGCAGTGGTTGTCTTTGGCGGTGTGTTGGCAGGTTGTCTTTGGCGGTGTGTTGGCAGTTTGGCGGTGTGTTGGCAGTGGTTGTCTTTGGCGGTGTGTTGGCAGTGGTTGTCTTTGGCGGTGTGTTGGCAGTGGTTGTCTTTGGCGGTGTGTTGGCAGTGGTTGTCTTTGGCGGTGTGTTGGCAGTGGTGTGTGTGGCAGTGGTGGTGTGTTGGCAGTGGTTGTCTTTGGCGGTGTGTTGGCAGTGGTTGTCTTTGGCGGTGTGTTGGCAGTTGTCTTTGGCGGTGTGTTGGCAGTGGTTTGTCTTTGGCGGTGTGTTGACGGTGGTGGTGTTGAGTTGGTGTGTTGGCAGTGGTTGTCTTTGGCGGTGTGTTGGCAGTAGTTGTCTTTGGCGGTGTTGGCAGTGGTTGTCTGGCGGTGTGTTGACGGTGGTGGTGTTGAAGGTTGGTGTGTTAGCGGTGGTTGTCTTTGGCGGTGTGTTGGCGGTGGTTGTGCTGGCGGTGTGTTGGCAGTGGTTGTCTTTGGCGGTGTGTTGGCAGTGGTTAAATGCTGGCGGTGTGTTGACAGTGGTGGTGTTGAGTTGGTGTGTTAAGCAGTGGTTGTCTTTGGCGGTGTGTTGGCAGTGGTTGTCTTTGGCGGTGTGTTGGTGGTTGTCTTTGGCGGTGTGTTTGGCAGTGGTTGTGTCTTTGGCGGTGTGTTGACAGTGGTTGTCTTTGGCGGTGTGTTGGCAGTGGTTGTCTTGGCGGTGTTATGATGGTAGTGTTGAGTTGGTGTATTGCCCGGTGGTTTGTCAACTTTTGGCGGTGTTAATGTTGGCAGTGGTTGTCTTTGGCGGTGTGTTGGCAGTGGTTGTCTTTGGCGGTGTGTTGGCAGTGGTTGTCTTTGGCGGTGTGTTGGCAGTGGTTTGTCTTTGGCGGTGTGTTGTGATGTGGTTGTCTTTGGCGGTGTGTTGGCAGTGTTGTCTTTGGCAGTGTGTTGGCAGTGGTTGTCTTTGGCGGTGTGTTGTTGCTTGAAGTGGTTGTCTTTGGCGGTGTGTGTTGGCAGTGGGTTGTCTTTGGCGGTGTGTTTGGCAGTGGTTGTCTTTGGCGGTGTGTTGGCAGTGGTTGTCTTTGGCGGTGTGTTGGCAGTGGTTGTCTTTGGCGGTGTGTTGGCAGTGGTTGTCTTTGGCGGTGTGTTGGCAGTGGTTGTCTTTGGCGGTGTGTTGGCAGTGGCTTGTTTATATTGGCTTGTTGACATTGATTTGTTTACATTGGTACTGGGGATAGGACTATATTCCTGTTGACATTTGGTTTAAGTTAGTGTTTTTCGCAATGGGGTTGAGGCCAGTAGTCTGTGTGTGTGTGTGTAGTACCGGAGATAAGACGAGATGCACTGGCATTGGGTTGAGGTGAGTGACGTTACCTGCAGGAAATCAAAGCTGTACCTCGTTACCTCGTCTGGAATCCATTCAAATGTCCCAGAAATGTTGTTACTGTCCTTGACTTTTGATAAGACTTGAAGAATCGACTATTATTCTCAGTCCTAGATAAAAACAAAGTCCCATCTTATATTATAATACATATAAGGAAATGCGTTATCACGGATGGGGTTTTTTTAGTCACTGAGGATGAATGAAAACAAGCAAGGGTTTATTTTTGGCTTTCTGACTGCATGTGGGTTTTTTGTTGACGTATGAAAAGCTTCCACTGCTTGGTGGTGAAAGTCCCCCTCCACCAGTGTTATCGTGTTTTCCTCTGGCTCAGCTCATAACCTTCTTGATAAGGACTTCTAGTTAAGGATGCCGTGAGGAACTGTATTGTGCCGTGTATGTGTGTATGTAAATTTTTGTTTTGGAGGTTAGTACGTATAAGACCAGTGGAGTTTAGGTGTTTGTGTGTGTGTGTGTTTGTATGTCTGTGTTAGAGTACTGTATGTTAGACCACATCAAAGTCCCACAAAACATATGAGAGTTGTATTGAGTATAATCCCAGACAGTCATAGGTGTTTTAAGTGTGTTACATACTTGGCGAGTCTAACCACAAGTGTTGCCTTCCTTACTTGTGTTGTTAGGGCAAACATTGAGGTCGGAATATATCGACACTTGTATTGCTTTCTTTAACGTGTCTTTCATTTACTGTTATTTATTTAAATTTTTTTATTTGTTATACCACCATTGTCATTTCTTTTTACAATCATCATCGTCATTATCATTTTACAGCCACTACCATCGTCATTTCCCTCGCGTTTGTTTACCATCGTCTGCTGCCTCATAAATCCGACTTCACGTCTCACGAACTCATAAAAAAATATTAACAGCCCGAATCTCATTAACATAAACAATAAATTTGAATGAGTTGCATGTAGTGATCCACATAATGGGTCTTGAGTGTTTGGGGAAAGGTAAATTAACCTCTTGAGTACGATTTTTAACCCATGAGTACGACTTATGCCCCCGAGTACGACTTATGCCCTTGAGTTCGACTTAAGCCCCTGAGTATGACTTAAGCCCTTGAGTTCGACTTATGGCCTACGTACTACTTAATCCCTTGAGTACGATCTAACCCCTTGAAACCGACTTAAAAAACTTGAGTACTGTTTAACCACTTGATTTGAGAATAACTTAACCCCCGAGTACTTAAACTCTTGACTACTGTGATTACTGTTTAGCTCCCGTAAGTACGACTTCATCTTGAGTACGACATAACTCCTCGAGTATGACTTAACTCATTTAGAAGGTTATTGTGTACTTTATGGTGAAGTTTGAATGAAAAAAATCTGCTGTAAAACTTCTGTAGGTGTTGTAGTTGCTGTAATACTTCTGTAGGTGTTGTAGTTGCTGTAATGCTTCTGTAGGTGATGTAGTTGCTGTAATACTTCTGTAGGTGTTGTAGTTGCTAATACTTCTGCATGTGCTGTAGTTGCTGTGTCACTGTACCTGCACCAAATTACAGTGCCCTTGTTGGGTCATACAGTATCAGAGCGCCCAAGGTGTTGCCCAGGGGTACCAGCACGTAAGCCCCCCCCCTTCTCACCTCCAGGAATGACTGACTGCCTCGGGGAATTTTCTGCGCGTGCTCCACGACCTGTATCGTTCATGTAGTTAATTTCTCGTTTCAATAAGTTAACGTAATTTTTTTCAGGCATTGGTTAAGTTAATTTAAGTTTGATTAAAAGATTAGGTTAATTTAAGTGTAGAATAGGTTAAATTAAGTTAGGTTAATGTAAGTCTGGTTAATTTAGTTTCTGTAACTGGACTTAACCTAACCTCACTCCACCCCCCCCTAATTAGTGTTAAGGTTGTTAATCTTTCATGAAATAAACTGGGGTAGAGATTCGTTCAGGTGATCCCAAGATTGAAACATTACACACAACATAACAAACGAAATACTTCCTACATCTCCTGACGATGAAGTACCTACGTGTGGAATTTAGTGTACAGGGTACCCTGTTAATGGTGTAACCTTAACCTAACCAAAATCAGTTCCTCGGTGGGTGAGCAGGTCTACGCTTCCTCCTCGCTTATTGTACTTTCAAACTACCAATTAGACTCTTTGTGCCTTATAATGCTTGGTGTGAAATTATTGGTATTATTATTAACAGTAGTAGTTGTAGTAGTGCCATTAATTATAGTAGTAAGAGCAGTA